GCCGAGAGCCGTGGCCGCGCGGCGGCGATCGGCGGCCGCGCGGCGGCGACTCCAGCCGGCGGGAGGCCGAAGCTGGAGATGGGCGTCACGTCGGCGGTGGCCGGCGCGGCCGGAGCCGGCGCCGCGGCATCGGACGTCGCCGGCGGCGCCGGCGCCGTGGCGCCGAAACTGAAGGCGGGCGTGTCGGCGCCGCGGCCGACGGGAGCCGGGGCCGGAAACACGAAGACGCGGCGAGCCGGTGCCGCGGCGGCGGACGACGTCGCGACCGCGGGCCGTGGGGCAGGAGCCGGCGCCGCGGCGCCGACGTCGCCGTCCGGCGTCTGCAGGCGCTCCTCGGGGATGATTCTGATCTGCCCGGGCATGACGATGGGGAAAGTAGGGACGTTGTTCTCGGGCGCGACGCCGGAGCTGACCACGGAAAAGGCTTTGATGGCCGCGGCTTCGATGGACGGGAGTTGTGCCTGGAGGATGGCGAGAGTGTCGGCAATGGAAGGCCCCTCGGCGCTCGCGAGGGGGCCGAGGGGGCCGACGAACTCCGTGCTCAGGAAGGCGTACTCGTGGAAGGCCTTCTTCTGCTCCGGGGGCAGCTCGTTGAACGCCGCCTTGAGGCCCGCGAGGTCCGCGGGAGCCGGCGCCGGCTCGGGCCGCGCGGGCGCGCGCACGTCGTGCCACGCGCGCCACGCCTCCCAGCGCGCGCGCCACTCGGCCACCTCCGCGTCGCTGTAGCCCTGGGCCTTGGCCGCCTCGGCGACGCGGGCCGCGTCGCCGCCGCACGCGACCGCGACGCCCTCGAGGAGCGTCGGGTCCGGGGCGCGCCGCGGCGCCTTCAGGGGCGGGAACGCGGGCGCCGCGGGCGCCTCGCCGTAGGCCGAGGCGTACCAGTCGCGGTCGCCGGGCTCCCAGGAGCCCGTCACGTACTGGCGGCCCGGGTCCTGCTCGATGAACTCGACGGCCGCGGGCACCGCGGTCGTGAACCGCTTCTCCGCGAGCCGCTCGTCCATGCGCTGGCGATGTTCCGGAGCCCCCCGGAGAGGATTCGAGGCCGTCGTCAGATACTCCATCACCTCATCCTTGGGCCACTTGAGCGCCTTCTTGATCGACGTCGTCGCGAGGAAGGGCAGCTTCTCGCCGACCTCGCGCTTGTCGACGCAGCGCTTGAGGTAACAATTGATGCTCGCGATCGGGGATCCTCAGAG